CCATGGTCACTAGTTACTATTCTTGAGGATCTAACCCTTCTATTGGCTTGAGGCTTGGGGAGATGGAGAGGCTCCTTTAAGGCATCATTAGGACCTCTTTTTAAATTTTTTTTTGTAGGGTGTGTGTGGGGGTGCTTTTGTCTAAAATTTCCTGAGCTCAAAATCATGGGCCAACTTCTAAGTGCTCTGTGTAGAAGGTGGTGGGTGATGGGAGTCGGGGGGCGGCCGTGGAGGGGAGAGCAAGGCTGCTCTATGCCCCGCCAGCCAGCCTTCTGCCAGGAATAGGAAATCAGGAGCTCCAGGGAAAGTCAGCACTTTCCATTCCAGAGAAGAACAAAATGTCCCCAGAGTGACCTTTCTTACAGGGCAAACAATCCTACAGGGCTGACAGGGAAAGAGAGGCTAGAACTGGAGAAGGTAGGAGACCCTGCACAGCCAGCTTCTCGCCCCTAAATCGAAAGAAGGAAATGACTCCAGCTGTCACACTGGAACACATGTGCAAAGAGTTGAGAAAGTTTGGACCCAGGGCTTCCTTACATTCAGCCATCAGCAAACCTAGTTTTGACTCAGTGGCAAGCACTGTTCTAGAGAGCAGATGCCACCTCCAGCATCAGTAAACAGACAGCGTTCACCTTCCATGGGGAAGCGGGGGCTCAGGAGAGCCCTCCCTGTGTTAATGCAGAGGTAGCACTTGGGCCATAAGAAAGACCCATAGAGGTTTGTGTCTTTGCACTCAAGACAAGGGTTTCCCTGCTTGCTTCACCTGTGCGGTGAGGGTCAGCCACGAGTCCTGGCTGCAGCCAAGAAGCCTGGTGTGGCCCTGGCACGGGGCAGGGCACGCACTGCCAACATGGGAGCTAGTGCCTGTTACATAAGACCTGTCAAGCTCAGGTCCCTTCTCCCTTCCCCATGGGGCCAGCACCCAGCCCTAGCCCCAGCATAACCCCGGGGTGGCTACTTCCACTGAGGGATCCACTGCCCACTTCACAGAGCTGGAGAGCGGGGGAAAGAAAAGGAAAGTTGCCCTCTTCCACCTGTCTGCAACTGCTCTGCCCTTCACAGGGTCAAAAGACCCCCGTCACCAACCCTTGGGAGACAGCCCTTTGGGAAACAGTGAGGGGGAGGCAGCCCCTTTCTGACCAGCCTTTCTTGCTGGGGTTTGGCCTTGGAGGAGTCACCCCGCAGAGTCCAGCGTACTGTCCTCACACAGCGACCGACGGAGACCTAGTCAAGGTTACGCTTTCTTGCACCTGTCCTGATAGGTACCAGTAATTAAGAGGCCAAGAGTCACCTGGTGCTGGGGTCACCGAGAAGGGGGGCAGGGGGACCCAGGGATTGGGACCACCTCAACAGGGGAGGGGACTGCAAATAAGCGTGCGATCACCTGGGGAGGGGGCATTCCTTGCCGGGAGACCTGGGAAGGGAAATGAGGGGTGGGGGCTGGGAAGAATCCGTCCCCCGCGCCGAGGGGCGCGTGCTGGGCGGGCGGGGTCCAGGAAGGAGGCGGGACCCCAGGCCCTCAGCGTGGGGGGTCCCGGAAAAGGGCCCGCGTACCTTGGCTTTGTTGAGCAGGAGCCCCACGAAGGTGGAGATCAGCAGGGACGGGGAAAGAGGGGAGCGCTGCCGCAGCTCCTTGGCGAGGGCGGGAAAGGGGGCGGCGGGGGGCTCCTCGGGCAGGGTCACGGTGTACGAGGTGCGCATGCTGGGGGTCGGGCGGCGGGCTCAGCTCCACGCCCAACGTTGGCAACGGGGGCACGGGGGGAGTCCCCGCGCGGTGCCACAGCCCGGACGCCGAGGCCAGCGAGGCCGCCGAAGGACACCCTCAGCGGCGCTCAGCGGTAACCGTTACGGCGGGGCCCGACCGCGCGCTCCTCGGCCTCAACCTCCCCGGCGTGCGCAGCCAACCGCCCGGGCCAGACTCTCACGCTCCGGCAGACTGGCGGCCCCGCCGGCGCCTCGGGCCCCGCGACGTCAGCGCGGGGGCGGGGCCAGGGCCGCAGCCCCGCCCTGCCCCGCCTCCGCCCCGCCCCCGGCCCAGGCACGCGGACCGGAGCGAGGCTGCAAGGACAGCTCCCCCGCGCCTCCAGTCCGTCCTCCCGCAGCCCGCGGGGGAGGCAGGACCAGAGCCCGGAGGCCCGGGTCGGCCACAGGGTTGGGGCTCAGGAGAAATGATCCTTGGGGCCCGCGGAGGACACCTCCCCGAGACCAAGTGTCAGCCGGGTGAGCTTCCCCCAGGCCAGCATACAATTCCTAACTTTTTGAGAACCTGGTGAAAGCTCTGTATTCTTTTCAGGACAAAATGCGCATATGCACAAACTTTTGTCCAGCATTCAGCGCCCTCCTGAAGCTTAACATGCACACAGTCCGTGGTGGGGATGGATGGGCCCAGGGTAAGAAGATAGATTTCCCTGGCCTCGGGACTGAGCTCTTCTCCTCCCTCCAGTCCTAGTTGCGACCATTATTAAGAGAGGCAGTGCTCATATTTTATAAGGTACAATAGGTCACTGTCCCTTTTGGCCCCAGGAAAGAACCTTTAATGGCTTCTTCTAACCAACCAATTACCCAGCTCCATCTTTCACCGAATCTCAGATTTGACTTGTGTTTGGGAGGTGGGGAGAAAGTAACATACTGGCGGGGAAATAGGCACTCAGCTGCTGTGGGGGTGAATGTTCTATTCAGACCCTAAGTGCAGCAATGCCTGAAGGTCAGGGGTCTTTGGGTTTTATTTCTGATGCTCTGCCCCTCCACCTAACAGGGAAGCAGCACACGAATCTGCCTAGAGAAAGTGTCTTGTTTGGAGCTTGCTGGCTATTTTTAGCCAGTATTTTTAGCATTTAAAAATACCCTGAGAGGCAGCAGTGTATGCTGTTACTCATCTGTGGGCTCCTTCTGTTCCTTATGGTGCGCTCATCCCCACATGTACACGCGCACTGCACACATGACCGCAGCCAAATGGGGACTGTGTCTGGGACACAGGTATGGACTGTACCCTAGGCCACCCACAAAGCAGAAATCTCCTGCTAATGAGAGGGGAGTGTGGAAGGTCGCCTCCTCCCCCTCCACGAACCAGCAGTGGAGATGAGAGGGGGCGGGGGCAGGAGCAGCAGGGCATTTTATTTGGTGATCAGTGAGGGTGGGCATGTTAGGAGGGGCCCTCTCTATAGTCACTGTCCTCACCCAGACTCTGACCGAACCTAGACCCTGGATAAACTGTAATAGCCTTTTTCTCCAAGCATCCTTCTTTCCAGCCACACCCTTTGAAGCCAGCCCTACACTATTTGCAGCAATGTGTCATCTGATCACATCATCCTTCTGCCCTGAAACAACTAGAGAACATGCCTCTTGCATGCAGTCCAGAAGCCTCAGGTAGCCTGTCTGTCCTCAGGCTACTTCCATTGTCACCACTCACTCTCCTCTGACCCCTGCTCTTAGCCTCTGCTTAACAAACAAAACTGCCACTCATTAAGTACTTATTAGATGCCAGGCACTGGGCTAAGGGCTTTAAATGTATATTATCCCAATTAATTTCTATAATAACACCATGATGTACTATTACCTCTTTTTTTTATAGATGAGGGACCTTAAGACCAGAGAGGTCAAATGACTTTCCAGGACTGCTAATAAATGACAATGTAGGGTTTTATCTTACAGCAAAACCTATGCTTTTTAACTACTACTAGGAAATTCTGGGATGCCCTTCCTGCTCTCTGCCAATTACCTGCTTGTAAATTGTGCTCAAAACTTGCATCTTCCACAAAGCCTTTCCTAATTAACTCCACCCAGCTCTAAACAACCCATTACTGCATACCTTCAGTCTACTGTGCGTTCAGCCTGTATAGTATTAATTTATCTTAATATGTTTATCTTTGTTTTATAAGTATCTCTAAGACTTTTGTAAATGGTCTTAGATTGTGTGTGGTTTGTCTTGGTTGTGTCAGCACACTGAAACCTCCTCAAGGGCAGGGTTTTGGGGGGCGGGGTGGACACAGCCCAAGAAGTGCTCACCCACTGTAGCATTTGGCCCGTCTCCCTCCCTGTGGGAGGACAGAGCTCGCATCACTTAGCCCCAGTGATGTGAGCACTACCCTGTCCTCCACCCCTGACATCTTGGCATGCTGCCAGCTCTCTCTCTCTTTCCTGGGATGTGGGAGCTTAGGGGTGTTGCTGGGGGCAGGGAGTCTCTGACTGGGAAAGCTCTAGCATGGGTGTATGTTGAGAAATCTGGGGTGAGGGAAAGAGTTCACACAGGGTCTAGTCCTGTCCAGCAGGGCTGCCTGCTGCAGGACATGGCCCACAAAGAACTGTGGCTCATTTCACACTGAGCCAGGTCTCTATGAGACCCCTTCTTCTCGGTGCCATGTCTTGAAGTAGGATGGGTACAAAGGATAGAGTCTTCTGGGATCTCAGTCTGGCTCTGGCTCCCTGATTGTCTGTGCCTCAGATACACTGAGCTAATCTGAGCGGGGCTCCTTCCTGCAGCCTGTGACTGCCATTTCTCAGAGCCTGGGCTCGGCCTGCCTCCCATGTAGTGTAAGCCGTTTTCTTCACCTTACATCGTTCCTGCCATGACATGGAGTAGAATAAAGTCAGGGCTAGCTCGATGAGGGCAGGGACTGAGAGGGTCCTGCCTCCCTCACATCTGAGTGAGCAGCTTGGTCCAGAGTTTGGGGACACTGCTCAGGCAGATGTCGCAAGGCTCAGCTCCCAGAATGTGCCTGCTATTACCACCGCACAGGGACAGATCAGTGGCCTGAGTGATGGAGGAAAGGGTAGGGGCTCTGAGTCCTTGTTAGGGTGTGGGCTTTTGGCCCACAGTGCACCTTGGGGAGAGAGGGTCTGTCCATCCTCCCGACTGACTGTAATAACCTTCCCTGCATGGCTTGGTTTCCAGGAGGTCAAAATCTCAGTACTTCTTTGAGCCCCAGGCGGTCTTGGCCTGAACCAGCTGGATCACAGAGGCCCACACATTTCCCTCTCTCACATATGCACTCTGTCTGAGGTGCTGGTTTTATGTATGCATTGAGGTAAGAGGGTGCAAGGGGCCACGTGTTTAGTTCTGGGCTCTGAACATGATGTTCATCTCTGAAGCCGGTGGTCAGTGGAGCGGCTCCCCCAGGGGCAAGGAACATTTTGCCAGGCTTGGATTAACTTCTGCATTGCTGAGCCCCACGCCAGCACCACATTAACTCATGGAGACATCCTGGAGCGGGGGCGGAGGAGGAGGCAGGGAGGACAGGCACCAAGTGAGAAACAGAGCCTGGGTAAGGCAGCACCAAGGGTACCAGCCAAGTCGCAGCTCTCAGCCGGTCTTCAAGGGAGGGAGACTGTCTTGCTGATTCTAATCACATACCACAAACTGCCTCTTCCTTCTTAGCCGCTATTACTGCTCCTGGCCATGGGAACCCTCTGGCTTAAGGTCTCTGAGTGACCTTCTTAGGCTGTCAACACAGATTCAAGCCCACAGGAAGTTTAGCCTCCTCAGGGTGGCTGAGTGAGCCTGGAGTGGGAGTGGGTGAGGACAGGCCTCAGGGTCCCAGGCTGCCAAGCTGGACAAACAAGACAGCAGAGATGTAGTCCAGCGTGGCTGAGTAAACAGAATGAGAAGGCAAGAGACAAGAGAGGAAGGTCACACTTCTCAGCCAGAAGCGCTAGGGCAGCCTCTACATCCTCAACTTGTTCTCTTTAGAGTAATCTCTGCTCACTGCAGGGCAGCTTTCAAGTCCAAAGTCCCACCTGAGAGAAAAATCACGTGACCTCGGCTTATGTAATCTCCCTGTCACTGAACAGCTGGAACCCAAGGCTTCAGAAGATGAGTCAGCAGCCCCAGTGGCAAGTAGGACCCAGATACTCAGGTTCCCAGACTCTCGGCTCCTAGAAGCCTGGTAGATCCTAGAGCAGAGAGCAAGGGTGTGGAAGAGCCGGGAGGGGAAGAATAGGCTGGGCTAGACTCTGGGCCGGGTCCCTGGCTCTCCCTCCGAAGTGCAGGTGCCCAGCTTGCTGTGATCTGGAGGGCTCTGGGCCAACCCTGGCTGTTCCTGGGGAGAGGAGAGGGTGGCCTGGGCAGGGCAGAGTGAGGGCTGGGCTGAGGCCAGTGGGCAGAATGCCAGGGCTGGGGAGGGAGCAGCTGGAGGGGTGGAGCGGAGGAGGATTAGGAAGGATTGTAGGGGTTAAAGCACAGCCCTGGCAGGGCTCAGTGGGAACAGCTTGTCCTTCCATAGGCCCGGGAACAGGAGGGGTGGGGCGGTGGGGTGGAGGGGGAGATAACAGGGTTGGGTACTCAGGCTCCTGGCTTTCTGCAGGGCTGAGCCACCTGGCTGGCTTGGAGTCCCCACTGGGGGTAGTGAAAGCCTTTTCTCTCACTGTAACTGTCCCTTCTCTTGGACTGTCTGCATTTTAAGCAGAAGCTGGAGCCTTAGGGCAGCCCTCATTATCTGAGTGCTGAGCTGCACTCCCATGGCACCGTGTTTTGCTGGTGCTTACACAAGCATGGGATGGGTTATTCAGAATTCATGTGGCCCCCTCCCCCGCCCTGCCAGGTCTTCCCTCATGCTCAGCTGAGTCTGTGAGATTCCAAGTTCATGTCGGCTGTTACTGTTAATAAGGGAAATGAGACTGGTTAGAACTGTTCTTCACTCTGGTCAGGGCCTGCTTTTGACTTCCCTTTATGAATGATGCCTCCTGTGGCTCAAGTCAGGTACCCTGAGAGCCCCCTGGGCCACGCGATGCACTTTCTCACCTCTGTTCCTCCCCCCCCCCCAGTCAGTTGCCAAGTGCCCCCTTTCTATCAATTTTCCCTCCCTCAAGTTTTTTTTTTTTTTTTTTTTTCGAGACAGGGTCTCACTCTGTCACCTGGGCTAGAGTGCAGTGATGTCATTATAGCTCACAGCAACCTCAAACTCCTGGGCTCAAGTGATCCTCCTGCCTCAGCTTCCCAAGAAGCTGGGACTACAGGCATGTGCCACCATGCCTGGCTAATTTTTCTATTTTTTTGTAGAGATGGGGTCTTGCTCTTGCTCAGGCTGTTCTTGAACTTCTGACCTCAGAGCAATCCTCCCACCGTGGCCTCCCAAAGTCCAAAGTGCCCCACTTAAGTTTGAATGACCTCATCTGTAGCATTTTACTGGTTTCAGACTCCTCCACATTCATTATTTGCTTTGAGCCTCATGGCATCCGCGTGAGGTGGGCAGGGCAGGGCAGGTGTGACCGTTCCCTTTTATAGCCGAGGAACTACAGCCCAGCTGGTAGGTGTCCAAGGTTAAAGAAGCAAACTGTGTCCCACTGGTCATGAGCAGCCTGTCCTAGCCTCAGATGACCTCCTCCCTTTTGCACCACCTATGACACTTCAGAGCACGCCAGGCTGTTTCCTATTGCAACTATTTAAGAACTTATTTTCCCCAAGTGAATTGTGAATGCACCTGCAACTTGCTGGGCGCTGCCACACAATTCCCTTCCATTTCTTCACAGGAGTCTGTGAAGAGGGAACTATGCTCACTCATTTTACAGAGGGGCAAACAGGTTCTGAAGTTAAGTAACTTATTTGCTGTTACGCTGCTAGTAAGCTGAGCATTGCGAATGAATGAATTAGAAGGTAAGATCCTCACATGGAGATCTGAAAAGAAACTGGACCTGGGTTTAGAAAGAATGGGCCGGGCCCCTTGAGTAGGGTTGTTCTCACCTCAGCAAGATGTGGTGAACTCCAGGAAGTAAGGGTGAGAGAGGTGAGGAGACAGGGATAAGGTTAAATAAAGGTCTTACGCCATTGACCCCGAGAGGCCTTTTCTGGTTGGCACTATCTTCTTGTGCGCGAGCTCAGAATGAAACACTAGCTCGAGTGCAGGGCATTCCTGCCTACGTAAGTGTATGGTGAGTTGCCTTTGGATGAGAGCAGCAATCTGCCAGTTCTCTGAGGTCCTCTCTCAAATGTCCCCTCGCCCTGGCCCTGGAGGTAGGTGTGGGGCCGGGGTGTCCCCTTTGGAGGGGTGGACAGCACCAGACTCCAGGGAGGGTTGGGCTATGCCTGTTGGGAAGGAGGCAGGCTCCCAGTGAAATCTGACCCCAGTAAAGAGGGACCCTGCTGTTATGATTGGGGTTGAGGGTGAGTCTGTAGTTTAGTCTGTGGTGAGGTGGTTTTCAAACCTCAGCATGCTTAAAGATCACCCAAAGAGCTTGTGAAAAGGACAGATTCCCAAGCACTATCCTGAGAGAGTCTGATTCTGCAGGTCTGGGTGAATCGCTCAGCCCTGCAGGTGGCTCTGATACAGGCAGTCTACAGACCCCAGGATGAGGGGCACAGCTTGTCGTAAAGAGACCTTCTTTTCTCAGAAAAGGGAGGGAGCCTTGGCTTCTAGGACCCAAGTCCCCCATGGAGAGCAGCTTTCTAATTGCCCCCAGGATGAACAACACCGAGTAAATCCTGCTGCATCCTAAGCATGGCACACAGCCCCTTGAAAACACATATTTCTCTCCCAGGCCAGCTCTGTTGGGACACATGTCTACTCTCCCACTCCTTTCTATACTAGCTGTCCAGTGCAGCCAACCCTGCCTTGTCAGGATCTGAATGTTCTGGGAGGCACCAGCTTTTTAATCTCCCATGGCACTTCACAGATAGCCCAGCAAGCCTGAGACTCTGTGTTATCAAAGTTATCCTTTCAAGACCTTTAGTTATAACAAGCTTCAAGGTCTATGACTCAATGCCCTGCCCCTAGTCCTGAACCTCTGCTTCATTTGTCTGCATAAGCTCTCTAAGCAGCATTTTTTTTTTTTTTTTTTTTGCTGTTGCACAGCTGTTGTTTCCAAAAGGCACATGTCCCTAGGAGTAGGGAGGTAATGGAGGAGATGTAGCACCCAGTTGGATGTCCATCCAGCCACCTGGTCATCTACCCATCCATCTACTCATCCATCCACCCACCCACCCCTCTCTCCATCCAAGCAAACTGCAGGTCATCTGAGCTCCATGCTGTGCGAGACACATGGTGTGGGATCTAGAGGTAGGATTTCTTTCTCATCCTCTGAGAGCTTTCCACCTCACAGGTACACTCATGACTACAGAAAAGGCAGAATGTAGTTAGGAGGAGAGGAGTGTTCTCCAGGAGAGGTGTGTTCAGGGATTAGATGCAAGCTAAGGCCATGCCAGTCCTTGGTCAATTTCCAGCAGAGCCTCTTCCCTCATTCCAGCCATGGCAGGGCTGGAATACAGAAGTGATGGATTGTCTCAAGCCCTGGATAAATGTGTCTCCACTATTTTCTCCAAAGACACAATCACCCTGGTCATCAGCACACCAGTGTCATTCGGAGGAGAGTCCCTCTTCCCCTGATATCTTATGCTCAAATGCAAAGCCAGGCCTTGGGGCTGGGGAATAAAGCCTGAGCAGGAGAAGAGATGCAATGAGAGCAAAGAGGCCCCTCTTGTCTCAAGGAGCACCAGTGGTCTGGGGCCCCAGCATCCAGCCCAGGATGGGGCAGGGCCTGCAGGACACCCTGGTTTTTTGGATAGAAAAGGAGAGGGTGGGTCCGGCAGCATATGTGGGGGTAGCCGAGCATTCCTGAGAGCACTGCTGGACCGCCGAGTGCACAGGTCCTGAGTGGGCTTCCTAGGGACAGCGGGAAAGCACCTCTCCTCGGCATGGAGCCACAAGGGCACCAGACATGCCAGACGTGGCTTCTCTCGCCTGTTTCCTCCAGGGCTGCAGGAGCAGCCGCTGTTGCCATCCATCATCAGGTTGGGAATCCTGCCCTCAGCCTGGCTCTCTGACATCAGTGGCTGCCTCCCCAGCCCATCGCCAGTCCCCAAGGGTAAACTCACCATGGTGTCTCGCCCTGGGGAGCTGGAGCGGCTGGGCCCAGGGGCCTGGCCCTTGCCCTTCTCCCACAGCGTGTAGCGGCCAGTGGGTCGGTAGGTGGGGCTGAGGACTTCAGGGACTCGTGAGGGAGGAGCCTGGGTGGGCACCTGAGGTGCACTGCCCTTGCGACCATAGTTCTCCAGGTAGTCGGCCAGGTACTCGGGGCGGTTGGCTGCCTGGTAGAGCCCTTGCAGGGTGCAGAGCTCTTTGCGTGTGCGTGCCAGCATGGGGCTGCGGCCCAGGTTCCCAGGGTCTATCCGGTAGCTGTCTGAGGTCCGGAGGCTGGAGAAATCCCGGGCCAGGTCTGATTGGCTGTCCGACTTCTTCTGGGTCAGGGTCACCCCCTGGTCCCGGGCACTCATGGGCAGGTAGCTGAGGCAGTTGTTGGTCATGCCATAAGGGAATCCACTGCCCCCACTGAGGCCGCTGCCTGAAGGCCGCTCAGTGCTCCGGGTCTGGCTCTCTGCCCGCTTACCACCCACCATGATGTCGGGTCTGAGCAGGGGGCGGCCTCGCTCATAGTCCAGGATGGAAGAAGGGCCATAGGTGCGGGGACGGGTGAGGAAGTTGGTTGGGGGGGCTGGCTTGAAACCAAGCTTCTCCTTCTCCAGGAAGGAGGCGGCCAGGTTGGCCCCATAGGAGGGGGTGTAGGTGCCATAGCCTGATTTGGCGTAAGGGGTATCTGTGTAGCGGGCTGATTCCGTGTAGCGCTTCAGGGTGGAGGAGAGCTGGGACATCCTTCAGGGCGGCACTCAGTGGGGACTGGGAGCCTCATGGGCTGAAAGATAAGGAAAGCAGTTGTCAAAGGGCTCTGCCAGGTGTCAGGCTCCCACATGCCCGTTCCCCATCCCAGCTGGGCCAGAACCTCAGAGCTGACCAGGGGCCACCCAGTCTGTTTTCACAAGATGCTGAGTGGCTACTGAGAAACACACACATGCATGCAGGTTTGCACACGGGCTTGCACGCTCCTGTGCTTCGTACCTCAGTGAGAGTACAATAGATCACCTGGCTTTTATGAGCCACCCAGAGAAATCAGTCTCAGCACCTCCTGGCTACTCCGAGTACTCCCCTCAAAGACCCGAACATGCAAACAGGGGCTGCCTGAGCTCTGCAGCCCCCCAAGCCATGCTCTGTCTTCCAGCCCAAATCCCATCTGGGTCCTCCCCTCAGCGCAGGCAGAAACCCTTGAGTTGGGGGATGCCGCTGCCCCCAGCCCCAGCATTGAGACCGCTGGATGTTTCAGAAGTGTAAGACCACTTCCCTCCCTTCTGACTGATGTGATGAGCAGGAGTCTTTTGGGAATCACAGACTGTCTGCCTGGAGTGGCTTGAAGATCATTTGGTCAGAGCCTTCATGAAGAAGAGGAGGCTCATGGGAAGAAGTAATGGGCAGGTTGATGGGCAGGCGAGGCAGCGAGTGTGGCAGAGAGGGGGCTGGAACTTGGTCTCCAGACTCTATCCCAGTGCTCTTTCCTGGACACAGGCACCGGCTGCATGGTCTGGGGGGAGGGGGACCCTCGTGTGGTAGAACCCATCCTCTTCACCAAGCTAATCTTTCTGCTCTAAGTGGAGTTAGGGCCCTGTGGCTTCCCAGGAGTCCCTCTCCCAACAGGGATCCCAAATTTGTTCTTGGCAATACTTCACTGTGTAAAGGGGGCCCCCTGGAGTCCAAAATCCTGCACTGCAGGTGGCATTCCCAGGCCCTCCAAGTTCATGCAGCTGGCTCAGGGCTGGTGAAGGAACACAGAGCTTGCTGGATGTGGCACTGTGGAGGACCCTAGAGAATCATGCATTTTAACCTCTTTGTTGTAGTGGCGCTGATTTGCACATGGTCACACACTAGGAGAGCTGGGGTTGGGATCCAGCTCTTTCAGAATCCTGCCTGATGCTCTTTCCACTTAACCTTGATGCACTATCCCCCATCACATGTCCCTCTGTCCCCCTAAACATGC